CTGCTCTGTAACACAGCCCTGGTTGGGGTTACATCCAAACTTGTGGTTCCTGTGGGCAAAGCTTCCAAAAAAAAAAACTGTTATAGGTGTAATCAGTCTTATAAGGGTTCTGAACTACAAGCATATTAGATGTCATCCTCCAGAATAGTGGTTCCCAAAACTTTTCATGCTAGGACCCATATGTAGAGGTACTATTTGTCTCAAACTACACTATATTGCCAAAAGTTTTTGGGACACCCCTTCAAATCGTTGAATTTAGGTGTTCCAATCACTTCCATGGCCACAAGTGTATAAAATCAAGCACCTAGGCATGCAGACTGCTTCTACAAACATTTGTGAAAGAATGGGTCGCTCTCAGGAGCTCAGTGAATTCAAGCGTGGTACCGTGATAGGTTGCCACCTGTGCAATAAGTCCATTCATGAAATTTCCTCACTACTAAATATTCCACGGTCAACTGTTAGTGGTATTATAACAAAGTGGAAGCAATTGGGAACAACAGCAACTCAGCCACGAAGTGGTAGGCCACGTAAAATCACAGAGCGGGGTCAGCTCATGCTGAGGTGCGCAGTGCACAGAAGTTGACAACTTTCAATAGCTACAGACCTCCAAACTTCGTGTGGCCTTCAGATTAGCTCAAGAACAGTGCGTAGAGAGCTTCATGGAATGGGTTTCCATTGCCAAGCAGCTGCATCCAAGCCTTACATCACCAAGTGCAAGGCAAAGCGTCGGATGCAGTGGTGTAAAGCACCCTGCCACTGGACTCCACACCAAACTCACTCATCCATGTCTTTATGGACCTTGCTTTGTGCACTGGTGCGCAGTCATGTTGGAAAAGGAAGGGGCCATTTCCAAACTGTTCCCACAAAGTTGGGTGCATGAAATTGTCCAAAATGTCTTGGTATGCTGAAGCATTAAGAGTTCCTTTCAATTGAACTAAGGGGCCAAGCCCAACCCCTGAAAAACAACCCCACACCATAATCCCCCCTCCACCAAACTTTGCACTTGGCAAAATGCGGTCAGGCAAGTACAGTTCTCCTGGCAACCGCCAAACCCAGACTCGTCTATCGGATTGCCAGACAGAGACGCGTGATTCGTCACTCCAGAGAACGCGTCTCCACTGCTCTAGAGTCCAGTGGCGGCGTGCTTTACACCACTGCATCCGACGCTTCGCATTGCACTTGGTGATGTAAGGCTTGGATGCAGCTGCTCGGCCATGGAAACCAATTCCATGAAGCTCTCTATGCATTGTTCTTGAGCTAATCTGAAGGCCACACGAAGTTTGAAGGTCTGTAGCTATTGACTCTGCAGAAGGATGGCGACTTCTCCGCTCTGTGATTTTACGTGGCCTACCACTTTGTGGCTGAGTTGCTGTTGTTCCCAGTTGCTTCCACTTTGTTTTAATACCACTAACAGTTGACCGTGGAATGTATATTAGTGAGGAAATTTCACGAATGGACTTATTGCACAGGTGGCAACCTCTCACGGTACCACGCTTGAATTCACTGAGATTCTGAGAGTGACCCATTCTTTCACAAATGTTTGTAGAAGCAGTCTGCATGCCTAGGTGCTTGATTTTATACACCTGTGGCCATGGAAGTGATTGGAACACTTGAATTTAATGATTTGGAGGGGTGTCCCAAAACTTTTGGCAATATAGTGTATATTTGGAAAAATGATTGGAAATAAAACAATTTATTGAGTTCTAATGTCCCCTTTTGATATTTCTATTCAATGCTTTACTTATGTGCCACAATAATGTAATGTTTTTAAGTTGAAATATCTTCATGTTGGGGGCTTTTCCAAGCAAATACTGATATATGTGATTAATTTTGATTAATGTGATTAATTAAGTAGCTTATGTAATTAATTTGATTAAAGATTTTATCAATCTACTATATTAGTTTTGGCAATTGGTATAAGACACAAATTATGGTTCTTGCACTTTCCAAGGTCCTATTGATTTCATACCACTTTAAAAGAACACAGTACCACTGGAAACTACAGTTCTTTAGTTACACTAGAAGGAAGGTCATGGGGTCACCAACAATAACAGGTTTTATCCTCAAGGCAAAATCTCAAAATATTTTATGTCTGTCCACTGAATAGATTTTGAGATATGCCCATCTGCACTTGAGTGTTGACCTTCCAAACCAACTGACTGCCACGGGAGGCCAAAAAAAGTGTAGTAATGTCATATAAGTTTATTCTGCAGAATACTGCAAAGATTACTGAAGTACCCTCTACAGTAATTTAACATTTTTGTTGTCAAATAAAGCAGGGAGCATACCTGGCTATTTCGTGGAGTTCGCATTTGAGTTTTTTTTCACAGAGATCACTGAGTTTGAGGAGAGTGAACAAAGTTTGCTGTCCTGAAATACAATTTCAGTGGACGTATGAGGGCATTTTTAGAAGGTGATGCCAATTGCCAAGTTAAATCCCAGTTTTGGGCAAGCAGCAGGTGCTACAGGATTTATTCTTCAGTATAATGTTGCTGTGACAGAGGCTAACCGACCACCTATATAGTATAAACTGCAGAATTATTGGCAAAATGTTTACATTCTGAGCATATTGATCAAAAATTTCTGGAAAGAGGTTTAATGCTTTTTATTGGTTAAATATTTGTAAAGCCCACAGACAGACAAAAAGCGTGACCAATAGCAATGATTTATGAATTTTTTTAAAAAAAATGACGAAATAGGGAGATACGATGGTTCCACCCGACAGCGACAATATATTGCTAGGTAAAAATATACAGCCACACCTAGAGGAAACTTAAATCATAGTAAACATTAAGCTGAATTCACGTGGATGCTAATGAAGAATAAATGATCATCAGTTAGCATCATTTTCTTGAAGACAGTACAAGCATACATTATATATTACATACATAAGTTAGGAAATACCTTTTCAGGTGTCTCTAGCCAGTTAGTTGGCACAGCATCCACTTTGCTGGTGTTCAGGATTTGTTCAGTGTTCAGAGTTCTGGAAGAAGGAAAATGAAATGATGTTGTCACATTCTAGTCTTCCCATCATTCACACCCAATTTATATTCATATATACTTTCATATACTTACTGCTTGGATGTGTGGGATTTGACATTGTTTTATTTCCACATGTTGGAAAACAGGAGCACAAAGTATATTTGAGGAAACAAGGTATTAGATGGAAATCTGGGGTGCCTAGAAATGTTCTGAAATAATGCCCTTAAGCACAATTTTTCCTGTATAGAGGGCAAACTGTCTAATTTCTGTGGCCTTCCATCTGTCAATATCTTCCAAGCCTCTTGGTTTTCTTTCAAACATATTTGGAATGCATGTTCTAAGCTTCAGAAACTGTAAACAGATTGTTGTCTGCAGGTGCTTAACATGCCCAGATGACAAACTGCTTCCCAGTGGTCCCCTCAGCCACAAGAGGATGATTTTGCACATGACCCCAACACTGGTGCATATAATCTGCAGGGAATTGATCAATTATGTTTATTGAGAGCTGGCAAAATGGCAACACATCTGAATGCAGGTGGTGCTCCTCCTGAGACTGATCTTGTTGAAATGCATGACCCGCAGTGACCATAACAACTACATCTGTGTTGTCTGGGAGAACATTATTGATGGTACAATTCCAAGACTAACCACTCTTATATAAAAATATATTCTAGTTAATGTTTTAATATGAAATGTTTAACCATTTGGGTTGGGTTTGCTTTATTTATAGACATGAAGTACAACTTCGACCAGATCAGTTCTCTGAACCAGGGAACTCCCTTTGATTACAACTTCATTATGCAGTACCACATAAGTCTGTCTCCAAAAAACACTCCATTGAGATAGTTAAAATAATTAAAAAATAATTATCAGAATTTGAGTAAGAAAATATATTTTTCTTAAGGCCTTGCTCACAAAAGTAGAGTGCAGTACTGTCTGCTTTTCTCTTTAATACTTGAGCTAGGAATAATGGAATGGACACTGAGTTCTGTTTTGTGAATTTATGGAGCCAGTTCTATGATCAACAGAGACAGCTAGTGGCAGTCACATTTCTCCACTAGATGGCTCTGTTGGAATTCTAATTGTTTAATTGTATTTAAAATTACTGTAAACATTTTGCTGCTTGGAAAAAAATAATCAAAGCAAAAATTCTCTCTCCAGTGCTGGTTGTCACTCCATTCTTTAAGCCAGTAACCATGATTGCTGTAAAGTTACTCTCAATAGGATCTGTTCGTAAATGGTATAGGTGATAAAAAGGGATCAGAGAAAATTAAGGCATGACCAAGAAGAATAAAAAATCTAAGATAAGATAGAATTGAAAAGAAGAGAAATTTAAAAGATAAAGAAATAACTCTGATAATATATATAAGTGAAAACTATCTTCTAAAGAGTTTTAAGTTGTGGGAGCTTATTCTCCTTTCAATATTTTATTTGTCTTGGTTATAAATAAAAAGATTCCTTTGTTTGAGCACCATTTTGGTGTGATCTTTGTATGATCTTTCCCACATTTTTTCCTGACTCTGCTTTGCAGGCGTGCATGCCCATCATTAGCTGATTCACGTAGTGGTGCACTGGTAGAGCATGCCTCGAAGAGATGGAGCTCCCTGCTGTGAACCCTGCATGAGGTTGTTTACACAAAGTGCACACCCTTCTTTTAACCTTTTATTACACCTCTGGAGTTTTCACTCTGCAATTGGGTCCACACCGAACCATCCCCTTACAGAAAGGTGTGACCAGAAATGGACCCAGCCAAGTCCAGGGATCCATCAGAGTGGATGTGTCATGGGGTAGCCATAGAGTGCCATGAGCAGTTGCTGCAAGAAATAGTGCAGCAAATGACTCAGCTCACCCAGGCCTTAACCCTGACCCCTTTTCTTTGCATGGGGGCCACAGCAGCACCCCCCTCTCCCACAGCATTTGGCAGATGCTCTTACCCAGAGCAACTTACAATTATCTCAATTATACAACTGAGCAGTTGAGGCTTAAGGGCCCTGCTCAAGGGCCAAGCAGTAGCAGCTTGGCAGTGCTGGGGTTTGAACTCTCAACCTTCCGATCATGAGTCCAATGTCTTAACCACTGAGCGACCACACCATTCACTTCTCCAAGGCCTGCAAATTTGTGGCCCTACCCAAGCTCCCTTCCGCTAAGGAGATGGCAGAGCTCTTAATGCTCTTAATGTCTGACTGGGGACCCCAGTTCGCTTGCGATTATTGGAAGGCCCTCCAATAGGTCCCAGAACTAACTTTATAGTGGGGTGGGGAATAATAGTGGGCCCCCAAGATATTTCCTATATTTTCTATATTTCAGGTAGATTTAATATTGACCATATAGTTTTTGCAGTTATGCAAATTTAAATTTGTTTTAATAAAATCAATGTCTTTTTTAGTGTGCAAAAAACTAAATGCTGGAACAAGACTTCACAAACTGTGTGTGGTAGTCTGATTTGCAAACAGATGAGTCGTTATAGTAAACAAGTTATTGTAAGTGACAATAGGAACTTGACTGGAGGTTATGTGATGTGGTCACAGGCTGAGAACATGGAAGTTGTAGTCTGCAACTTTGGGAGATACAGACAAAGGTGTAAACACAGTTTAAATGTGGTGTTTGTGCTCAAATAACTTTACTTTTATTAAAGTTATTGGAAGGCCTTCTGCCAGCTCATGGGGGTGTCTGTAAGCCTTTCCTCTGGCTTCCACCCTCAATCGAATGTCCAGACTGAGAGGGTGAATCAAGAACTAGGTCATACTTTGCACTGCCTTGCCTCCAGCAATCCATTCTCATAGGGGGAGCACCTTCCATGTGCGGAATACCCATCCTCATGGGCGGAATACCCTCTGGCATTCGTCACTAGGCATGTCGCCGTTTGAGTGCCAGTTCAGGTTCTCTGCCCATGTTTCCAGAGCAGGAGCATAAAGTTGGGGTTCTGGCATTTGTAGAACAATTTGTTTGGCGTTGCCTGTGATCATGGCAGAAGGCCTGCGCATCTCTAGGGGCCACATCTGAAGCACTAAAGCGGGTTGCTAACCATAAAATGTGGGGGAATCTTACCTTCCACCAAGGAATACTGTAAGATACTGTAATACGCCCACCCCCCATCCTCACCATGTTCTACAGAGGGAATATCAAGAGCATCCTGTGCAGCTGCATCACTGCCTGGTTTGGGAATTGCACCGTCTCGGATTGCAAGACCCTGCAGTGGATAGTGAGGACAGCTGAGAAGATCATCGGGGTCTCTCTTCCCTCCATCGCAGACACTTACACCTCACGCTGCATCTGCAAAGCATTGTGAATTACCTCACACACCCCTCTCACACACTCTTCACCCTCCTGCCATCTGCAAAATGGTACCGAAGCATTCGGGCCCTCACGGCCAGACTGTGCAAAAGTTTCTTCCCCCCATGCCATCAGACTCCTCAATACTCAAAAACTGGACTGAAAGAACACACACATACACACACACAACTGTACATCCTCCATCCTCTTGTTGACTTGACTTGAGGAGGCAGTGCTACACTGGCAGCCAGCAGAGGGCAGCAGAAGACAATGCGATATAGGAAATCATCTACTGCTAGCATTTCAAGATGAATGAAGACATGGGCTGGAGAGAGCAGAACACTCTTTCATAATCCCCAGTGACCACAGAAATGTTGAATATATGAAATCAGCTAAATGATTAAAACCCTGTCAAAATCATTCAGCTTTTTTCTTCAACCAATTCTATTTTATCTTCACTTACCCAACATCCCTGGGTCACCATCTCCAAAGTTCTAGTGCAACCTCTCCCATGCAAAGGTTTAGCACCGCTTTGCAAAGTCTTACCAGTCCTATCATTTGAGTAATGTCTGAGTCATGACTGTCTATGCTGCATACTCTCTGCCTGTTCTTTTGGATTACTCTTTGAATGACCCATGGGCTTTGTTATATGTTTTCTGCTCATATTTTGACTGAATGAGATTTGAATTGCTTGATCAGCTCTACCTGGATTATGTAGTAACATGCCTTTTCACATTGATCTTCGCTTTCTTCCTGAGTCTGGTTTGTTATACATATATTCATAAACAAATACAACTGATATGTAATTATTCTTAATTTGTCACACACAACATTTTGTGGATATTTATTATTGCTGTTGAATGATTCACTGATGCACTCAGTGGTTGATTCCTACTTCTACTACACTAAATTCATCCTACAGGGTGCTGGCCAGATTTACTTGGTTTTAATTTAAAATCTTCTGGTACTTCATGGAGTCCATAATGGCATGTATCCTACTGTACCAATATTTTTCAGGGCATTTGAAGGAAAATCAGCCCCACAACATCTTCTGCAAATCCTCCAACTGTCATCCTTAGAGAAGGTTTTGCCTGTGTAATCACCCTGCTTTTCTGTGGGGGCCAAATACACTTAAATCCTCTTCCTCTTCAATAGCTCTACTTGTTCTAAAATTCATAAATATTTATAATTATTACGTAACAGTTGATTTATGAAGCTCATGTTGTCTCGTTTACTTTGTTGTATTCTCTAATATTCCTCATGTTGATTTGGCCTCTGTATCACCTCATATTTATACCACAGTAAAACAAAAAGTTATGTATGACCCCTTAAGAATTCCTAAACACTGAGATAAACTTACAAAAGTAAAACATGAATGGACACATGCTTCAATTACATCTCTAGAGGTGCCAATAATTGTGGCATATGTTTTTTTTTAATTATTATTTTCTGAGAGCATGACATTTTTAATTTTCTTAAAATTAATTAATCATATTAATCATTAATAATTATAGGCACAGCTCCCACTGCTGTCTTCTTTCTCTCTGGCGATGGACTTGTGGTTGAATGGAGTTCTTCTGAGGGACAAAAAGGTTCAAATTAATCTGAAAACCTCACAACTAAAAAAAAAAAGAAGAAGAAAAGAATCTATTATAGTTTCTAATCTGGCATCAGACCCATTGTTATACAGATGGGATTTATTGAAAGTATTTGCTAAAAACTTTGATCAAATTCAGTGTGTTATTTCATTTATGAATGCAATATAAGATTGAAAACATTATTCCACTGCTATGTTTGTGTGATACTTACAGCATCTGTAGAGATTATTGACTCGGATGATGTCATTTTGGCTCATTTGAGTGGCTTGGCCAAAGGCTACATTGCTGTTGGGGATGGGGACCATGGTGGCTTGGCCATTCTTAGAGAAAGCAGTTCTGAAATAACAAATAAAATAAACACAGTCCCGGAAAACCCATTTTTAGTCCAGTGGTGCTGCCCATTGCAAAAGAGTATAAATTGAAAAGACTCCCCTTTTACACCAGCTACTCAACATGTCTTATACAGAGATTATACAGAGGTTAAGTAATTTAATATGTGCAGCCAATATATAAAAAAAATACAAGGGATCACAAATGTGTGAAAGATTGTGTGAGAAAAAGTTTTACTGGGATTGTTATATATTAAGAAAATTGCCTGACCTGTGGTACTGCATGACGGAGTTGTAGTCATAAGGAGTTCCCTGGTTCAGAGTGGCGATCTTGTCAAAGGCATACTTATAGCCTTAGGAAAAAGACAGACTTAACAATAAGTGCTAGCCTCATACAGGTTTGAAAAAAGCTTAATCATATAAACCCTTTTACCATATTAGCTTTATACATTAACCAAAAACTCATGTCAATATTTTCCATTAAGTGTCGCCACTGTAGAATAGTTATTGAAATTTAAAAGGATACGGAGACTTACTGTCAATGATGTTCTCCCACACAACACGGATGTGATTGTCGCGGTCACTGCGACACTGTTCATGGTTGAAGCCCAGAGCATGGAGAAGCTCGTGCTGAACTGTGTTATGATAAATACAACCATTTCGGTCGAGAGACACAGTTTGGGCATAACCACGACGTCCAACATAGGAATAGCATCTGTGCATGATAAAAATATTTATAATCCTTTTGTTGTATTTGCTATATTTTCCTAGTTTTACTTTAGAATTTCTAGTTTAGAATTTGTTCTATTCTTGATCATATTTTATTGTCCTAACACTAACATCATTAATTCATTTAAAAGCAACTGCATTATCCTGATCAGGGTTGAGGTGGATCCAGAACCTATCCTGGCAACACTGGGCGTGAAGCAGGACTACCCCCTTGATGGGATGCCAGTCCATTACAGGGCACTATGCACACACATTCACATAATCATCAACACCTAGGGACAATTTAACATAACCAATCCACCTATTGCCATTTCTTGTGAGTTGGGATGAAACCAGAGAACCTGGAGGAAACTGTGGAAAACCTACAAAACTCCACACAGACAGTAATCGGCACTCAAGATCCTCCTCAACATTAGATTAGATTAGATTCAACTTTATTGTACATGTACTAAGCCAATGAAATGCAGGTAGCATCTAACCAGAAGTGCATAAGTGGCATATTTACAATAAATTACAAATAAGGATATACAGCTATGAGGGTGATATGTACAGGGGAATGGATGACTTATGTACAGAAGGTGCAGTGGGTATTATAAATATTATAAACATCCTCAACATACTCCTTAGATGTAATTTAGAATTATGTTATAATTTAGATATTTACTTAAAATTAAGATATTAATGTTTACTTATAATTTAGACATTTAATTTAGATATGGTTATATATATATATATATATATATATATATATATTAATTGAATGTTAAGGTCTGTCTTACCCACTGTCAGACGCAATGCTGAGGTAATCCCTCTGGTTAGATCGTGGAATAAAGTTAATGCATGTAACAGAAGAGAAGGAATCCAGACCTCGCTGGATGACCTGCAGCTCACGGGAAGCTGAAGGGGTGAAGGACAAAGCAGACCAGACATGCAATCCTTATGAAATCTTTGGTTCCAAAACAATAGAATTCAGTATTGTAAACACACATTATACCTAATAATGCAGATAAAGTGCTGATGCTCTGATGCTGATAATTAATTATCCATCATAATAAAACAGCAAAGAGAAAGGGAGAGAGAGAGAGAGAGAGAGAGAATCACATGTATATCTTTAATTCAGTATCCAGTTCAGAAAGTAAGTTAGGTGCTGTGAGTTTCTATT